TCTCATGTGAGTAATTTCTCAAGCATATGCTCGCGTTTCCTGAGCGAACTATATGTATGTACTAGTTGTACTATAACAAGCGCAGTACTGCGTTACACACCTTTTACCTACAACCCAACAACCTACTAACCAACCGAAAACCTTCCACTAACTTGCATCGTCCACGTGCTTTTGTCGTCTGTCGTCTACTTCTGCCTTGCTGCATTCCCGCACATGTATATATATAACTTCCGCTATATACGATTTTCCTCAAAAGTTTGTAGGTCTTCATTATATATATATGTTTAGAATATTTCAACTACAATGTCAATTGTAACATAATAATTCAATACTTTCAACTTATTTGTATCGATTATAATTTCACGTGTAGAAATTTTGAATGGGTCCTGGCAGGGCCCACGTCGGTAAGCCCTGAATCCACATGAAATAGGTAATCCCAGATCGGGGCCGGATTAGGCTGCCCTATTAGGGGATGAAACGCCGCGCCTGATGTGGCCCTGATTAGGAAATCCACATATTCTGGTCGCCCTGATCAGATGTGGCGTTTCATTCCCTACTAGGGCCCTCATAGGGCAATTTCTACACAGGCTAGTGTGGCCCTCAGTCGGATTCCCTGTTACAACCAGGTCAGAGCCAGGTTGGCGAATTTCTGTACGGGTTCCATTATCGTCTATTGAAACTTTTAAACATCAAAAACTCGTGTAGAAATTTGCTAAATCTGTTAGATTTAAAGAATTAAAATTTCCTTAAATTTTCTGCATTTATATCGACAAATTTTGATATTTGAAAATTAAAACAAACTTTCACATTACTCTCTAAATTTGAATCAGCTAAAATCCGCTGATTGGCAGCGAATAGTCGCTGATTGAAAAAGCTATAAGTATGCAGCTGCGAATCAGCGACTAACAACTATTTCAATCAGCGGAATACTCCATTTTAAAATAAATTTATCTTCCGACGAAAATGACCGACGTTCGCCGATTCGTGTTTCGCTATTTTATTAGCTGTAACCGCTGATTTGCAGTGAAAACTTTATTCGCTGATTCAAACAGTGAAATTTTCGCTATTTCAAATTTAGAGAGTATCGTGATCCAGTTTAGAAGATAACAATTTTAATTAACAAATAACTTGGTAACAGATTGAAGTTCTTGAAATTCCTTTCCGATTTAGCTAAGTTTCTACATGAAACTAATTTTCAAAACAAGATCAAGACGTATTCATTCAATTATTCAATATAAATTAAATTTTTGCTTCCTCGTGGAGGAAGCTTTGTAGTCCTTTCGTTTATAAAACTTTTCAAAGTGGCGGAAACAAATTTTTTTCTTTATAGAAACATGTTATATGAGATCCTGATCAATTGTCCGGATGTATGTATGTGTGTGTGTGTGGATCCCTTTTTTGTTTAGAAGATAACTTTAACAGGTTTTAATGGATTTTTTTTGGTCATAAAAAGTGTCTTCCTCTACTCGGATCAGGGTGTCAATTTTTTTCTACACTTTTCGGTGTATTCTGTGCAAGAATATGCAATAAAATCGTCTGCCTAAGAAAAATGGAATTTTTTTGGAAAGTTTTTTATGCTTTTGGATGCGTTTTTGGTCATAAAAAGTGTCTTCCTCTACTCGGATCAGGGTGTCAATTTTTTTCTACACTTTTCGGTGTATTTTGTGCAAGAATATGCAATAAAATCGTCTGCCTAAGAAAAATTGAATTTTTTTGGAAAGTTTTTTATGCTTTTGGATGCGTTTTTGGCCATAAAAAGTGTCTTCCTCTACTCGGATCAGGGTGTCAATTTTTTTCTACACTTTTCGGTGTATTTTGTGCAAGAATATGCAATAAAATCGTCTGCCTAAGAAAAATTGAATTTTTTTGGACAGTTTTTTATGCTTTTGGATGCGTTTTTGGCCATAAAAAGTGTCTTCCTCTACTCGGATCAGGGTGTCAATTTTTTTCTACACTTTTCGGTGTATTTTGTGCAAGAATATGCAATAAAATCGTCTGCCTAAGAAAAATTGAATTTTTTTGGAAAGTTTTTTATGCTTTTGGATGCGTTTTTGGTCATAAAAAGTGTCTTCCTCTACTCGGATCAGGGTGTCAATTTTTTTCTACACTTTTCGGTGTATTTTATGCAAGAATATGCAATAAAATCGTCTGCCTAAGAAAAATTGAATTTTTTTGGAAAGTTTTTTATGCTTTTGGATGCGTTTTTGGTCATAAAAAGTGTCTTCCTCTACTCGGATCAGGGTGTCAATTTTTTTCTACACTTTTCGGTGTATTTTATGCAAGAATATGCAATAAAATCGTCTGCCTAAGAAAAATTGAATTTTTTTGGAAAGTTTTTTATGCTTTTGGATGCGTTTTTGGTCATAAAAAGTGTCTTCCTCTACTCGGATCAGGGTGTCAATTTTTGTCTACACTTTTCGGTGTATTTTGTGCAAGAATATGCAATAAAATCGTCTGCCTAAGAAAAATGGAATTTTTTTGGAAAGTTTTTTATGCTTTTGGATGCGTTTTTGGTCATAAAAAGTGTCTTCCTCTACTCGGATCAGGGTGTCAATTTTTTTCTACACTTTTCGGTGTATTTTATGCAAGAATATGCAATAAAATCGTCTGCCTAAGAAAAATTGAATTTTTTTGGTAAGTTTTTTATGCTTTTGGATGCGTTTTTGGTCATAAAAAGTGTCTTCCTCTAATCGGATCAGGGTGTCAATTTTTTTCTACACTTTTCGGTGTATTTTATGCAAGAATATGCAATAAAATCGTCTGCCTAAGAAAAATTGAATTTTTTTGGAAAGTTTTTTATGCTTTTGGATGCGTTTTTGGTCATAAAAAGTGTCTTCCTCTACTCGGATCAGGGTGTCAATTTTTTTCTACACTTTTCGGTGTATTTTGTGCAAGAATATGCAATAAAATCGTCTGCCTAAGAAAAATTGAATTTTTTTGGTAAGTTTTTTATGCTTTTGGATGCGTTTTTGGTCATAAAAACGGTCTTCCTCTACTCGGATCTGGGTGTCAATTTTTTTCTACACTTTTCGGTGTATTTTGTGCAAGAATATGCAATAAAATCGTCTGCCTAAGATAAATTAATGAAAGTTAAAAAATCAAAAATTCACATTTTGGTTATAAAATTTTGTGATTTTTTAAATTGAAGTTTATATATGAAATAATTGTATTCCTTACGTCAAGACGAATCGATCGATATATAAAGTATACATTTGAGGTAAATTTAAATAATTAATGAAAGTTAAAAAATCAAATATTCACATTTTGTCAATAAAATTTTGCTTTCTCCACGAGGAAGCAAATTTTTTTGCTGATCGTAAAGAGGAAGCAAAATGTTCATGTAATGAACATCTGAATTTACAACTTGTTTTTTAGATAATGATTTTGTTGAACTTATAATTCAACGAATTTTATAGACATGAGTTTTTCTAGTGTGAGAAATAAAGAACTGTCAGATGTAGTACTTGTTATTTTCTCTCTCTATTTCTCTCTTTTTTTTCGACATCTCGTTGCATTCGAGACGACAGGCTGATATGTCAAGTGACATTCGTGAGCGTCTCGTGCAGAAGAGCCGAAAAAGGTCGCGGTGCAAATTCTGTATTTGCGGGGGCTGGGGGGAATTGTTGAAACCGTGTGGAAAAAAGTGAAAAGAAAAAAAAGTATATATCTCTATAGAAACGATTGGAAAAGGGTTCATGTGAGTGGAAACGTAACCAAGACATTGAATTGTATTCTCATGCGCGCGCATATAGCGAGGGTTCGAAGGTTATAGTTAGTTTTAGTCTCAATAATGAAATGAATGCCCTCGGGTATTAACGAGTGTGAAATCCATTCGCAAATTAACCTTACTTATTCATTAACGCTAACGACTTACCACCACTAATTACTTTCGGCATATAATTCACATCGACACCCCCAACGTTATCAGTGTCAATTAAAAATTTATTATTTTTGTTTCTCTATATATGTATATAAATTCCACTTCATGAAATGTTGCAACTCTGAGATTTACAGATTAAAATAAATTTTATTTTATTGAATTTTTAAAACGCCGATTTTTCATTTGACCGAACAATGATAACCAAACAAAATTGTGATTGGCCGATTTTGAAATTCGCGCCTAAATCATTTCGTAGGTTATGTTTGTTCGGTCATTTGCAATTTCGGTCAAATAAAAATTTTGGTGAAATAAGGTGAATTATATTTTTTAAATTATTTTTAAATAAAAAAGTTGGGTAAAGAAAAATTCTGTGAAATTATAATTCTATCAATTTTAGTTATTATAAAGGAATATAATTTTTATTAATTTTCCTTCTTATGGAAGATAATAAAATTGAATTGCAATCATTTTATATTATATATATATCTGAAAACAAAAGGAAATAGGAGATATTTCTCTCGAGAGGTTAGGTTTTTGAATCGAAACAAATTCTATTCTATGGTTAGTGAAAGTATAAAATTGGATTTCCTGATTACTACATAGAGCATCAGATCTAGTTTCTCTCTGTTGATTTTTTCAAACCAATTCTTTTTCTGAATTCGAGTTCGCATGAGAGTAGATGCGGTGTTTTGTAAACTTAAAATACAAAAAAAAAAAATAAAAAAAATAGGAAAACAACGAAACAATTTGTCAGAGTCAATCGAAGTACCGTATAGAGCGTAAAATTGACATTCCAATCTGAAATTACACGCGTTTTCGAATTATACTATGAGCATTCCGTAAATATTTTCGAATTCCACACAAAAATAAAATTGCCACACGTTTCACGTTTATTGGTATATGATAGTTTGATAATTCATTTGAAAGAAGTTATTTTCAATATGAAAAAGTTTTTTTTTTCATGTTCGTATTTTAATTAGTTTATTTGATGAAATTTCTTGACACGAAGAATTGTTATTTATTCATTACGTATAAATATAGATTGTATAAATATAGTTTTAATTTTAATATTTAATTTGTATAATTTAAACATTCTAAAAGTATATTTTTTTAATTTCAGGTGCTTCTTCTTCCGAAGTGAATCATCAGGTTTTTAAGGATTTCTTCGTCACTACAATGATCACTGGTATAAGGTAAATTTTTATCATAAATTAATTGCTTACTTTAGAAAAGGTAGATTAGATTAAAATAATCATCGCGGCATAACCTCAAAATTTGGCTAAAGATTCCGGTTAAGAGGCGAACATAACCTCAAAATTAAAGGGTTTTTGGATCAATTAATTTGACTTCCTATATTCATGGGCTATATTAATATTGATATATGTAGTATAAATATGTAATTCTTGAGCCTCAATTTATGATCGGAAATGCAAGTAATAATTTGATTATTATTCGAGTAGGGTTAGAAATAAACATATGGGGTTTGAGTTCTGATCAGTGAAATGTAAAGGACGTGGTAGTGGCGACGAAAGCGGTAACTCATTGCACAAGCAGAGTTTGAGGTAGATTCCTTTGGATATTGGCATAAGCATTAGTATCGGTGTACTAGTGTGTTCAACTACATGGAGTGTCTTTTACCGCAATATGCGGTCTCGCGCCTCTAGCATAAATCACTTCTCGCAATATCATCGGATGTCCTTAGTACATATATATATATATAGCATTGTAGAAACGACTTTCGCACTTTCCAACGTCTAGAGACATCGACTAACATATATTCTGAGACATTCTATATACATCCTTTATTCGCCCCTAATTTCAAAAACAAAATTCTATTTCTATAGAAATATAAATTTTTTCCCATTACATTAAATTGTGAAATTTTATTTGTTTGATAAATTCGATTTGGAGGAATTTTTAATGTAACCCTATTTTTTCTCTCTTTTTTTTTGAAAAAGATTAATAAACGAATGTTCAAAAAAAAAAAAAAGGATTTGTATTCATGTGTATAAATGAAAAATGAGTTACTTTATAATCCTTTTGAAATGCGTGATTTGCGTCTGTTCAGTAATATGTCAGTGATACAATAAAAGTCGAATTTTGCACTCATCGTGGTTTTTGGGGTCGGAGCGTAGAAACGACCGCAATATTTTATGACATTTTACAAGCATGAGCTTTGGTCACACAAATGCTCGTTTATTAGTCGCGTCGATTACATTTATGCGCTAAATTAAAGGCTGTGGGTGGTTATATCGTTAAAAATTTAATGATTTATCTCAAATCTGCTGAATGATTTGTGTGAATGACCTTTTTCAGACACTTGAAATTATTATTATTATTATTATTACGAGGTGGGGCCCAGTTCTTTGACTCCTCATTTTAATTATTTAATTTTTATATTTAATAAATTTTAAATAAACTATTTTTTTGATAAAATTTTAAAATATCAATAAATATTCCAAAAAAATGTTATGAATATTTAGAAAAATGTTTCTTTGTTTTTTAAGTAGGTTTTTTAACTTAAATTTAAAGGTTAAATTCACCTCTTGACCCTTGATCTAAATTTTGAGGTTATGGTACGCTAATCAGGGGAAAGGTAGAGGTTATGTTCGCTTGTGACGCTTCACCCTAAATTTGAGATTATGATACATTAATGAAGGGCAAATGCGATAGGAGATCGAAGGTTATGTATCTGATTTTAAGGTTATGTTCGCCTCTTGATCTTGACCATTATTTTGAGGTTATGGTCTTTCTTTCTGAATCGGCGGCGGTAAAATCATTTTATAATATGGATAATTATTATTATCATTATTATAATTAATTATTAATGATAATAATAATTTTTACCTCTTGCCTTAAGAAAATATTTTTTTTATCGTTAAAAAATTTTGTCTGCATTTTAAGTAAATATTTAGTTTCCATTTCAAATGCTACTCGCAGTATCTATGAAAGTAAATTTCAATTGTTGGCGAAATGAAACTGTTATATACAATTGTGTGTTTTCTAAATATTTGATTACAACTTCATTAAAGTTTTGGATTTGATGGGATCATTTTCAAATGTTTAAATTGGCAAACAAACCATTCAATGTTTCTGGAGTGTGTCTATAATGTTTTGAACGTTGTGTATATAAGTAAGAGAGTGAAATTTTATATAATCAATGTCCAATAATTATTTTTCCAATGTGAATTGATATTTGTTCTTTATTTTTTTTTTGTTTTTGAATTACTTCTTTCCTTTTTTATTCGAAACTAATTTATACAATCTAAGTTATGTAGAAATTAAATTTATATTCCGGTTTAATTGGAGAGAATAATAAATTACTCGGTGAAAATAATTTGGTTGTTGAGTCACTAATTGATCAATTTATCGGATGTCACACATATACAGAGAAACAAAGAATCGGAAACTGTTAATAATGCTATATATTTTAATTAAATCCTCAATTGAAGGGAAATTAGAATTGTTTATGGAATTGTTGATGTTTGAATGTTGTATGTATTATATATATAGTGGAAAACAAAAGACGAGGATCGTGTAACTTTAGATTTAGATCGAAGATGGATTAAACTTGTTGAGAGAACTATTTGCGCTTCAATGCTTCGTTTACAAGTGGATTGATTCAATTCAAAGGTTTCCGAGCAAAGCCTGTAACTAAAAGCTTTTGCTGATTTAAATTCCAATCTCCAAGTATCCCGAGAAGTCGTTGATCGTTATAGGTTATATAAATGCAAGAAGCACGCAAACACATATATACATACGGAAAAAGTATTTTTTAATATCGTCAATGCCATCGGGGGCATCAAACAGAAATTTTACTATTAAAAATCAATTAGGAAAAATATTTTTAGATATATTTATAAAATTGAGTAAATGCTCGGAATTTATATTCAATTAAAATGAAAATATATAACTTGATGGAATTTATTGATTTCCTTTTATAAACTTATTTATAAAATGAAAATTAAGTCAAATTCCAATGAAAAAGTACATTTTTTTTTTAATTGAATGAGATAATGATTAATATTTTCTTTCAACAATACTGTCAATTTTGGCTCGAGACTGTGTCTATATATATATGTGTCTGCTTTTGCTGATTGCATTACATTGCAAGAATTACAGGTCATGGATGTTTCAGTGAGAATGGCTTTCCTTGAGTCAGGTTCAATTCATAATTGCTAAATTGCAAGATAATTGGCAATCGTGTACCGGTGACTGATAGTCGATAAACAATCGACAGTTGATTGAGACAGCAGGAGGTTAAGATCCGCCTTTATACTGCAAATTGATTACGATATATACGTTTACAGAAACACAAAACACTTCATTTCTCGTCAGTGAAAATGAATTTTCTCTTAAGATTCAATTTCGTTTACTTTCTTCTATATTTGTTGTTGTAGGATTAAATCAGGTTTTTTGTCTCGTTTACAATTATAACAAAGGGATGCATTTTAAGATCTAATGTAATTTGTTAGAAATTTTGTCTAATAAAAATTCTAACAAGTGAATTTTAGAACCTTTTGTACCAATAAATTTAGTTTCTCTTCTGCAAAATTATTATGTTAACCAATATTGTTATGCCATTTTCTTTCTATAGTAATTAATATGGATATCAAGCGTGAAAATGATGCGTTACATCATTGCGATAAAATGATGTATTTTAACAATATATGTATATATATATATCGTTTAATTCTCTGTTCGTGATGTGTTTTTCTTTTTTATTCTCTCTGTTAAATGGTCACCGCGATTGTCCAATACATGAACGACAGGTGAGGACAAGTGCATTTAAAGTAGCTCGGTAAAACTTTTTGCACGTAGTACGTTGCGTACGTGCGCAGAAATATGTCCATAATATATATATATATACGTATATAGACAAAATGAAACTGTAGTGCCACGATTGAACGGATTGGATGAAACGAAAATTGGCTGGAAGCGTAAAGTAATTGCATTTAGTAATAATCGCTTTGGGATTTGAGTGACAAACGGTGGAAATGAAACTATCTGACATGTAGGACAGATACAAAATCGATAATCGTTTATTATTGTCCTTCCATAAATTTCTCGAAACCTTTATATTGAGTATATATACATATATTATATCCAATACCGCATTCACACTGCAGGGCATCTCATTACAAGTGACGTAAAATGCTGCGTTTCTGCTTTTAATCAATGTTATTCAATTGAATTGTTTTTCAGTCAATGTGGCTTTTTGTTGTTGAAAATATTGGTTTTTTTAAAGCTGTTTTTATAATTTTTAACAAAAATTTGTTGTAGAAAATAATATTTGTATTCGATTTTCTAGTAAGGTAATCTGTCCCAATCTTAATGTGGTCAGAAACTGGGACATTTACCTTAATTTGAACTTTTAGAAATTAGATTTTTTTGGTAATTCGTTAAATATGAATAATAATAATAATATTGATAATAATAATAAGCAATTTCAATCGGTTTAATTTGAATTTAGTTGGATTGATTGGTAAATTATTTGCCCTCTCTGAAATTAATAATGAAAAGTGTTGAAGTGATTAATTCCCTCTATTAAATATGATGCAATCAATGTTTAAATAACAAAACTTTGTCAAATGATATCGATTTTGATATGCATTGAAAATGTTATTTGATAATGGGACCATCTGCACGGAATGTTACCCCTTGACATTAGTTGGAAACTGAATTTCTATGTTCATTTAATTTGCACTCTTGGCGGTTGGACAATATCGCAAACTACTTATGACAGTATCACCCGCTCTCAGTCGTTGGTAATTACGCGACGTTTTGTTATCTCTTCCCCTATAGAAAATAAAAGGGGGAAGGATGTCAGAATGATGACGATGAATGAAAACCATTGTCGTGTAAGTTGCAACGACTTCCTTGCAGCAGGAAAGTGCACAGACTAACTTTTCATATTACCTTCTCTTCATCTTCATATATACATATATATATAAATCTAGCTAAGATATCTTCCAACCCATATTGTTCTCATCAAACATTCCTATCCTAGTATGGTAGCAATTGTTATATAAAGTTCGTTTTATTTTTCTTCTTCTTAAATTATTAGAATGCTTTTAGAATGCTTTTATATTAAATTGGTTTGTCATATGGCTTTTGTCGATTGATATACAGTAGGAAAATTTTCTATTATAACTTTCATCGAATATTCTAGAATCTTCATTGAACTCGAAAAGTTTCTAAAAACTTGATGGAATCTTTTGAAAATTGTAGAACTTTCTAAAACTTTATTAGATTCTAAATGAAACTTTCCAGAAACTTGCAATTTAGTAGAAATTTCTATTGAAACTTAGAGAAGCTTAATGAAAAATTCTAGAAACTTTTTAGAAACTTTATGAAACCTTTTTAAAACTTTATAAAATTTTCTAAAAACTTTACAAAATGTTTTAGAAAATTCATGGAAATGTATATAATTTTTTTTATACATTAATTTTTTAAGTTGATAATCATCATCTTTATCAGATAATCTGATATAAAATGTGGCGCGCCTTGAAAGTAAAAATTTTTTTTTTTAAAAAAAAAAAGAAAAACAAAAAACGATTATATAGTTTTATTATAGAAAAAAAAGTCCTCTGGTTGAGAAAAATCCTGAAGAAAGTTTCCACTAACAGCACAAGTTCAGTGAAGAAGTAAAAAGTATGTATACGCAAAAAATGTGAAACTTTCTGAAGTTATGAAAATTAAAATATCCCACGGAACAATCTTCGACGAAAGAAAATGCCCGTGAGGGTAGTTTCAGAATAAATACCCAGTTCCTTGTTGATCTTCTATATATAGAAAATGCCTCTTTTCTTATACTTGTCGCTTACTAATTGAAAATTTGGTAGTAGTTTTTATCTTGTTTTTTTCGTTTTATTCACCCCCCCCTTTTTTTTTATCTCTCCCTCTCTCTTGGAGTTTATTACTTCCTCGAACTTTACTCTTAAGATGTTTATCAAACTTTACGATCTCAATAATTCTGTGTCTTCTGAACTCGATCTCGATACATAACCCTTAATAGCAATTTACGATTGTTCCGGAAAAATGTTTTCGTAATAAAAATACATAACAAAGTTTTGTAATGCAAGTCTCAGAAAAAAGAAACTTTTCCTGTGTGTGTTTCTTAGTTTATAGTGTAGAAAAGGAACGCTTTTTAAGTATCTTTTGTCTTCTGTGTGTATATATATAGTTGAATTAATAAAAGTATACCTTGGGAAGGCTTCTATATACATAGTACCGGAAATACACAAGAGAATTTATTATTTATGAGGACGATAACGTAATTCCGATTGCAATGCAAAAAAAAAGTAGAGTAATGAAGTATTTTATGGAAAAACTGCGACATAACAAATGCTATAACTGTTTAAAGTTCGTAGAAAAGAAAATCAAATAAAATAAATTCATACATATACGTTTGGAAAACTGGAATATCAAATAATGTTTCCTGTTATACTTGAAATATTGATTTGATTAATATCTTTTCCAAGTTTATTTTTCTTATTCTTTATTATTTTGTTTTTTTGTTTTTTAAATAATATCTAATAAAATTCAGAGTATTAATTTTTATAGGATAATTATGCACCCTAAATTTAAGTCTCTAAATAAAAAAAAGTATTCCAAAAAATGGGGAAAATAAAAAAATTAGAGAATATTGCAAGGAACTTTCAAAATCAAATTTTGCTGCGTCAAATTGATGGAAAGAAAAAAAGTCGATATATAGTCTTTCCTATATGTAGAAATTTATTTTTAGAAAATATAAATCAGATTATTCCTCTCATCCACACATATGTGATGTCAGTGACAGAAATCGTAATTTTATGGCATTTGAGGAGAAAGAGAAGAAGAAGAAGAAGAAGAAGGAGGGCCTGTGAGATTTAATGTGGTTTTAGGGCAGTGGTTGTTCGGGGACATTTATATCAAAGAGAAACATGTGTATAGGAGAAGTAGAGTGACATATGCGGGTTATGGAACTGATTCTTGTAAGTTGTTCAATCAATGTTATATATATATATATATATATTCGGGAAGGATATGAGCGCATATGCTGTCAGGACAAAATATATTCCATCCATAATTTTACTCGAGTTTTCTTAAAACCCTGCGGATCTTTTATTAAAATCGTTTTAGACGGTTTTGCGGTAAAAGGAAAAGAGAAAAAAAAATCCTATCATCATTTTATAAAACATTTTTCGTGAATTTTATCCTCGTGTTTTATTCATGAATTAAAAGCGAGAGGACAATAATTTCTTTCTTTATTGATAAAACTGTTCCTTCTTTTTCTATTTGTGTTGTGTTATATTAAGAAGGAAAATATATTTTTTTAAAATAATTAATAAATTATTAATATTCTTTTAATCTTTTATAACATGTTTATATCAAGTTTAGAATTTTATACCACGATGGTTGTGGTCGTTAAGGCACTTGGAATTGTGAGTTACGTTCTGCTATTTAGGGTTGGCGTTCGAATCCCCTGGAAGTTAGAAATTTTTATTTTGTACTACTGCAATAATGTTCGTATCTCATTTTTTTTTCAATCAAATAATTACATTGAATTAAAATTTAAAAAAATATTAAATTAAACGATCTAAATATTTCTAACTTTTTCAGTTTTAATTATCATTAATTTTCATTATGTTTTATCACCACATGTTTATTATTCTCATTTCAAATTTTGCCAATAATAATATATACCTAATGATGATTGTATTTTGTATATAGTAACTAATTTCTATAATACACGTTGTAAATTATAATATACTATGTATTTGCATAATATGCAAAATTATATATATATATATAACTAATAATAGGAGAAATGAAAAAGTGTTTTTAATTTAAAATGATCGTAACATAGATTTCAATAATGAACAGAAAGCAGGCGAGTAATTAATAAACCATTATTTCATTCGTGTGCATCATTCTCTTTTTGAAACGTAGAGAGAGAAGAGGAACACGATATTTTAGAGAGTGTGCGGGTCAAATTTAATATCGGTGTTGTATAGCTCACTTGCGGAAACTCGTTTATGGCAAACTTTTGAGCATGTTTTGGACGTAAACATGAATATGTCGATCCACGATCACGCACCTCGTCATTTTCACACTTGCATTATATCTTTTGTATATATATATGTATTGCATGGTAACCACTTGCATCGGGGAGCAGGTTTGGCACCTGTAAGAGCGACGTACGTCGTTTTCCATCCGGTAAACTAGCCGCGTAATTAGCCCGACTAATTGATTTACCGGAATGAGGAAGTCCTAAGAGAGAAATAGCACATGTAACGTGAACTAGAACAGGAGTGAGATAGAATGAATGAGTGAAGAGAGAAAATAGAGAGAGAGAGAGAGAGAGAAAGACCTATTGGTAGTAAAGCGAAATGTGGTTGAAACCTCGTTTATTGCGAACTCTAATGAAACTTCGACAATGCCACAGCTCTTTTCGAACAAGCGATGCCTTCTACACTTCTCTCCATTTTACCTTTCTCTTCTAATTCCATCTGCTCTAAGCTCTTTTGTTACTTAATTTAATATTATCTCATTCCGTTGGAATTTCATTTATTAATGTTAGTTATATATATATAAATGATTCTAAAGAAAACTTGTTGTGAACAATGAATTTTGTGAATGTTACTGATGAAATAGTTTCCATTTCGTTAATATTTCAGTAGTTTCGAAATTTTTTAAATTTTATTGTTTGGAAATTATTATAAGTTTATTTTAATTTTAAGTATAAAATAAATATTAAATAAAAATCTTATAAAATTAATTTTCTTTTTGCAGATTCTATCCTCGATGGCAAAAGTAAAAAAGGGTATCTTATCTTGAAGTACAGATGAATCTTCATGTTAATATGTGAGTTTAATTTTTTCAATTTTTATCTAGTAACTATATTTTTAAAATTTGTGCATAATTTTTAAGCACAAACAACAAATTTTTACACTGGTTCTTGTTTAACTTTACCATGAGAGACATTACGTTCGGGCTTGTTTGGTTTTATCGACCGTGCAGGAATTTCTAATTACTTTCAGTTATGTTGAACACCGCTAGGAGGCTACGTGTCGTTGCTCAATGTAAAATATCTCTCGCAAGTGGTGATAGGTAATCGATGTTTAGTATATAAGGAAAGATTTGTCCCTACCTTTTGTACTTGCTTCGGCAGTACATATACTAAAATTGGAACGATACAGAGAAGATTAGCATGGCCCCTGCGCAAGGATGACACGCAAAATCGTGAAGCGTTCCACATTTTTTTGTTCTTTTTCTTTAGATAATAATAATTTAAACAAATTTTTTTACTTATGTTTTCTTAAAATTGAATCAATGAGTTTTCTTGATTTAATACTTCTTTTTTTTTAATTTAGGGATACTAATATTATTATAAAAGATGTAGGGCTGTGAACAGCGTCGCGTCTTTTCTATAGAAAAGTATATAGAAGCATGTTAGAGGCCGGTTTATATAAAGACTTTTAAAGTTCTCCGCAAACTAAAGTGCCTTAAAACGTCGTTATAGTAGCCGAGAGGACATGAAGTTTTAGTTGAATTTTGAAGTGCCTTTTAAATTATTATTAAAATTGCTACTTCGTTTACTTTGAAGCGCAATAAAAATCTTAAGTATCACACGTGACGGTAATTTTATGTTTCGAGTCTAAACTTGAAGTTTTGAAAAAAAGGGACAATTTTTTATAATTAAAGTTTTAGAATAAAAAAAAAAATCGCTAACGATACACTGTCATAAAAAAAATATGCATTAAAAATAATAATTTTAATACTTTAGTAATATTAAATAAAATTCAATTTAATTTATTTTCTAAAATGATGATTCTATAATTTAATCAAATTTTGCATTGAATTTCTTATCGATTTTTTATTTATTCATATACAATCTTATTTTATATTGCTGAGACAGATATTTCGGTTTTTTTTTTTAAATTATTTTTCATCATATCTCGCACTCATTAGTCTATATATATGGTATATAAGAAGGAAGCGAAGATGATGAATATGCATTAAACTAAAGTATAACGCGCTCCCCCTTTTCAACACGATGACCTGAAGCTTTCTACACGGATTAAAAGTGAACTGAGAAAACTAAATATTCATGAATGAGAAAAATGCTCCGAAAAGCAATTTCTAACCATAATTTTTCGATTAATAATTATTCGGCATTCCGAACTGTCTTTCGTGTAAGTTTTCTCTCTCTCTCTCTGTTTCTCTATGCTTCAAAATGATTTGCAATTTAAAAAATAAAAAAAAATACATTGATCCCTCTTTTACTTTTTCGTTTGTCCAAATTGAATGTTTAAAAATAGATGCTGAATGGTGAATAAAAGATGATCAGATTTATAAATAAATTTCGATTTAACAAAATTCTGATCAACTTATTTCCTGTTCGATTTGGAAATTTATGAAAATATATATAAAAAAAAAAGGATTTTTTTTTTGACAAATTGAACGATATTCAGATTTTTTCCATTTAAAAAAAAAAATAAAGTGTAAATTTTTTTTTGAAATTTCAATACGAATCAACCTAAAGGAAAATTTTATTTCTTTTAAATTATTAAATTTTATTGCAAATCATTGAAGTAAAAAATTTTATGATTTAAAAGAATACAAAATTTCAAAATGGCAGATCCAATATGGCGTCAAATTTTTTTTCTAATAAAAATAAATTTTTTTTTAAGACGATAAATATGCTAGGGGGAATTGGGCACTTTTTTTTTTGTTTTTATTATTTAAAAAAGTTGGTTGATGGTAGATTTTTATGAGAATAGGTGACGCGATCATTGCAGAGCTTTCAACAGCGGAAAACGGAAGCGCGTGTCAAAATCTTGGGTTGAAAGTTGTCGAGCGTTGCATAAGATTACTGCATTAGGTATTCATGCGGTGATGGTGTGACTCGAACTCCTAGGCATCCTTCGCAATACCAACATCATGGGCTAAAGTTTACCTACGCGAAACTACTGTCACAACTCGCTAGTATTTCGAAACGCGCGAAAATCCACCCTCATCCCCCTCCCTCCTTTGATTCCATCAGGATTCGATGGTTATAAGTCGATAAAAAGTTTCAAACTCTCAAAGAATTTGATTTCCGCTTTTTTTCTCATATAAATTTTTTTCCTTATTTTTGCATATTTTTTCAGTGTGAAAAAATATGTACTTTTTGAATATAATAATTATAATATGTATTAGAAATTAATTATTATAATTTTTTGCTTCTTTTTAAAGTAAAAAAAAAAATTTTTTTTTTTAAACCCTTTTCTGCTTTAATGAGAATGAGTACTGTGATCACTATAAGTATCAAAAACCAGTAGTTACTTCTGATTTAGGTCAGCCGCACGTCCAGAGATATAACGTACTCACTCTGAACAGAGATCTGAAAATCCCTTTTAACCTTTTCTCATTGATTAACAATGCTGTCTGTAAAGTACAACATAATGAAACTTTTATTTGATTACACATTTAGATGTTGTTCTCTTTTGTGCATATATATAAGAATATATTTAAAATTTCAAAATAATTAATTTTAAAAACCCAGGTGGAAAAGTTCCCGGTAGTGACTACCGGTAGTAACTACCGGTACCGCTACCTGTACAGTCACTATCGGTAGTTATTACCGGTAGTGACTACCGGGAACTTTTCCACCTGGGAAATTAAAAATATATTCTTATATTCTTACTATGAGAGTAGAAATTTTAGAATTACTTTGAAATAATAAAATACTAATATTGTTAATTTGAGAATATATTTTTTTTTATCTAATTTAAAATTTTGAGAAGTAAAAAAAAAAAAGTAAAAGTACAAAAATTCTAAAATTTATTCAGAATCAAATAGTTCCACTTAAGTTTAGACAAACTTTTGTAGTTTTTTCTTTTTTTTTTTTTTGTTTACCTGTTTTGAAATATTAAAAACAATATTATAATTGCCAATGTCAGTTCGTTGAACTAAAACGCATCGAATTTCTCGAGCGAATTACCAACATAATTCTATAATTAACCACTGGGCGAAAATCACGGGTAAAATTCCGTAAGCACTGAAGCATTCGTTGGCAACTATTAATTAAATGGGCGTTCGCGGTGGTTTGCCATAGAGTTGAGGAGGTAGAGGGAGGGAGGACAAGGCGAAAGAAGGTGTGCTGTTGGTGTAATTGCGAACCGTGAGTTTCCTTCTCTAACCCCCCTATATATACTGAACGTGTGTCAACTGCGAGCAAAATAATTATCCAAACTTTTTTTTTTATTATCGTAATAATAAAAAAAAAAAAGTTTCAAATTATTTACATAGTTAGATACTCAAAAAAAAAAGAAACAAAAACAAACTTTTTTATTAGTCGAAATAGCTTTAAATATTGTATATCATTCTCGTTGCTGCAGTTAAAACATTTTTATATTTATATGCTTCTCAGACTTTTGTAATTTGTGGCATATATGATAGGACAAAAAAGGGTAGTCTCAGTTATAATTATTTTCCTCAATTTTTATTTGCAATTTTCTGTAAAATATATTTTTCTTAAATTTATGGGATTTTTTTTATTTTTTGTTACTTTTATGGCCATTACAGTATTCCTCTTTATTTTTGAGGTTTGACAAGAATTCCCAGGCAAAACCCCAAATAGGGTGTTCTCTAGTTTCAAAAGAGGATACTAGTCAAGGCCTCGATAGTTTTTCCAGTTTGAAAAAATTTAAACTAAGTTTTTAAAATGACATTTTGTAAAAAATTTAGTTTATTTACATTTTTTTAAAACTAGGAAACCTGTCGAGGCCCTGACCAGTATCCTCTTTTGAAACTAGTGAATACCCTATTTGGGGTTTTGCCTGGGAATTCTTGTCAAAAATTTTCTTTTAAATAGGGAAAACTATTTAGGCCCTGCGACTAAAGGCCGATTTAAAATTTTTTATATAGAAATAATTGAAAATTTTTTTTTTAATAAAAATAGTAATAAAATTTTTGTTTAGAAAATTTGTATTGCCCTTTAATTCAAGATAAAATTTTTTCTTCGATTGTACTTTCTTAGGCAACAACAATAATACGGAAAGTATTTTTAAAAATGTAGATAAATTGAAGTTAACTGTCAATGAACATTCCTCGCAAAGCTCTTTGCTTTGCGCATCTTTTCGATTCTTTTTTGCTTCGATTTGCACGAATGCGTCGAGTCAGGTGTGTTTCAACTTTTGTTTTCCGCCCGTTGATTTCAATATTGTCAGGATATTGCTTTCCAGCCTCTCTTTCTCTCTTTCTCTCTTGACTATCAAGAATAAAAACCTTTCCTCACGTTGTGTTTCCTTTACGTCTTTGGAGTTTTAAAATTTTTCTCTTGCGATCGTTATTTCAATAAAGGGTCTCGTAAAGATGGATATTTTTTTAAAAATCTTGAAAAAGAAAGAATACATTTTTTTTTCTTCATAAAACAATAACGATTTATTTTTTGGAATTTAAAACTATTTATTTTTTAAACATTTAATATTTCTAATAAATTTTGTTGGCAGAAAAAAATTTATTTGAAACAACCAAATTTTTGTTTAATCAACAAAATAAATGTATTGCTATTTCTAGTTAACTAAACTTTTTGTTTGAATTAATAAAAAGTTTATTTGGCTCAATAAAAAAAAAAAAAAATGGTATATTTAGAATAAACAGAACTTTTCTCTGAAGATAAAAATAGAATATAAACAATTTTGGTTCTAAATAGAAGGGAAGATTGTATTTTTAAATTATATGAATAAATTTTTTTTCTCCTGAAAATAGATCTTGAATAAATCAGCCAAATTTATTTTAAACTGATTTCCAATGCAGGGCAGATATTTTTGTCATCAATATCAACGTCAACGAATATAGCGTTTTCTATTTTACTTCCG